GCAAGTGTTACCAATATAACATGCGGTTTCCTCTGCTTTATTAATTTATGTCTTCCAGGGTGCTAGCCATGACTGTGTTCACAGAGATCCTGGAATGGGATGTACTCACACAGCAATAGTAGCTGAAACCTATACATATCAGCAAGGGTTGGATAATTGGTGGGAGAGGTGAAAGTTTGATTTTCATGAACATTTCAAAGCATTCCAAAATTTCCAACCAGTTTTGGCAGGTATAGGTAGCTGAGTGTCCACACAAAAAGGATATTGGCTAGGATTTCCAAAGGGGTCTAAGAGAACTAGGGGCAGAACTCCATTGAAATTCAGTGGGAGTTTGGTGCCATTCCGCTTTGAAAATCCCAGCCCCAGAGACTCAGGGCTTGATCCTGTTCCCTTGAAATCAGTGGTCATGCGCCAATTAACATCAACGGGGTAGAATCAGGCTCTAGCATCAACCACTCTTGCTGGCAAGGTAGAAAGAACTCACAACACGTTTTCTTTACACTGCCATTGTGTCTTTCCTTTGAGGTTCTTGTCTTACAATATAAAGGCCTGAAGGCCACATTTGAGCCTCAGAGGAAGAAAAGCTTAGAACATGGCTTGTTAGGAGAGAGAAGAGGGTCAGTTAAGGGACAGGAAGTTTGAGTGGTGAGAATCATCCATCTAATTAGTTTCCCACTCCCTGTATAGTGCTAAAAAGCAAGACAAGTGAAGTGAACAAATCAAGGTCCTGACCTTACACACATGACTAGTCCCTATTGGCTCTATCAAGAACTGTGTTTTCACTTTGCTTTCACTGGAGCTGGCACTGTTACCCTTCCTTTTGAGCTACCTATGCCTCAGTTTGCTCAGCCAACCAGCATTGCCACTGGCCAGCTGGTGGTGTTCTCGTGGGAAGGAAGTCACATGGTTCCAGTCTGTAGGCACTTTGTATAATGTTGCTATTCCAACACAGTTGTGTCAGGATTGTTGTCATTGTTAATACGATAACTACTATCTGTGATACAAGTTAACAGCAACCTAGATTTCCACAAAGCCTTTGCTAATAATACTCCATTCATTGTAATGTGCTTTTTACTGTGCTGAGGCCTTTACACTTGAGGAAATTCGAGTCCAAAAACTTAAAAATTCTGTACCAAAACATTAAAAATTCAGCATATAATATTTTACGAGTCTACCAAAATCTAGATATTTCAATTGTCAAAATAGTGCAATATAATCTTTCTGGTTTCAATTATTTTGGTAATTAATGTAAACTGCAATACAATGGATGGAGAATGGGAGTGGTAAGCTCTGGAGAAAAACCCCAACTTCCCTTGCCTAATGGTAATGTAGCCAGCTGTGACCCTTTAATTTGCACTATTAGACAACTAATATATGCAGTCGTATGTTCAGCGTTACATCACAGGCAACTGGACAGCAGGTGAGGGCTGGGGAATCAAACTCACAGTTTATATTGGCTACTGGCCATCTCCAGGTAAATCAGTAGCAAACCATTCACATTTTGATAGGGAATTTTTTTCATTCCAAAAATTCAATTCAGTTCTAATCACTAGAGCACCATAAGCCATATGGCCCTATTGCTGTTTTTACCACTTTGGCACTTTAAAGAAATGTTAAAAACTTTTACCCCAGTTTTATGCTCCTGGGGAAATTGACAAAGACAATGGAAACGATGGCCTCCTCCCTCTTAGCAGTGATTTATGTCTCTATCAGCTGCTATGGGAGCCCAAACTGACCAGCCTTTGCTGCTGGGGAGGGGCATGCCACTCTTCCAGCTTTCCTTTATTTCCCCATCAGAATTCATTTTTTCTGCAGAGAAACAAACCTGTGGGGAACATGAGTTCTGCACATGTGCAATGGTGCAGAATCCTCTCAGGAATAGGCCTTCTAGTTAATTTGTCCTGCGGGAAGAGTGTCCATACAGGAACATAATTGTTCCATTGGGATTCTCCCTGCAGGCCAGGAAACTTTGTGTTGGGGTTTTATTCTTGAGAACATTATGCATCTAGGCTACATCTACACTGGCATGATTTTCCGGAAATGCTTTTAACGGAAAACTTTTCCGTTAAAAGCATTTCCGGAAAAGAGCGTCTAGATTGGCACGGACACTTTTCCACAAAAGCACTTTTTGCAGAAAAGCATCTGTGCCAATCTAGATGCGCTTTTGCGCAAAAAAGCCCAATGATTTGCGCAAGAGGGCTTTTGCCCGAACGGGAGCAGCACAGTATTTCCGCAAGAACACTGACGATCTTACATGAGATCGTCAGCGTTCTTGCGGAAATTCAAGCGGCCAGTGTAGACAGCTGGCAAGTTTTTCCTCAAAAGCAGATGATTTTGCGGAAAAACTTGCCAGTCTACACACAGCCCTAGTGTAAAGATGTCTCTCTTCTGTGCTCTCCATCTTTGCTCTGGCTCCTGTTTCTCTGACTGGTGAACTACATGTGGCTCTCTGTATATATAGCAGGCTCAAATTCAGGGGTGGGCAAAAGGGCCTCCACGGGCCAGATGCCGCCCACCAAGCGGGTTGATCTGACCCGTGGAGGCCCTGCTGCTCCCCTACCCCCAGACCAATTAGGGCCTGGGGGTAGGGGAGTGCTTGAAGCCTTGTCCACTCTGCCCCTGTCCTGTGAGCAGCATGCAGCACTTTGCTCACAGGGTGGGGCAGAGCTGAGAAGGCTTCATGCCAGTTGGCCCGGGGGCGGGGGAGCATGTGAAACCTCCTCCTGCCCTGCCAGGAGCACATGGTGCAGGGCGGAAGGGAGAGTGGAGGAAGCTTTGTGCGCTCCCCCTGATTGGCCTGAAGGTGGGGGAGCGTGCCAAGCCTCTTCCAGGGCAGGGGTGCCTAGTGGGAAGGGGGGACAAAGAGGGTCCCTCACCCCTTCCCATTTAGGCCCCACCCCTTCCGGGGTGGCCCGGGCTACTTTACCATTTTTTAAGTAGCTCCCGGGCAAAAATGATTGCCCATCGCTACTCTAATTAGTGGTGCCCTTTGTATTATGAAAAAGGCATAAAATGAAGTATATTGAGCCAGATTGTCCCCTTCACACCTGTGGTCAGAGAAGATGAAAACCTGTTGGATTCAAGCAGGAAGAGGGGCAGGCTGCCTCTTCAGCACCATCCTCCTCTTCTTCCCACTGTGGTGGTTACTCTGCAATGACCAGGCTCCATGGGCATGTTGTCCATGGAGTGGTCCCTATGGAAGATCAGAGAGCAAGGCCATATTGACTCTCCCCCATTCATTTCCCCACTGCTCCTCTCTTCATTCGGAAATTCCCCTCAGGGTAGCATCCAGGCAGCAGCTGCCAGCTGGATTCATACTCCAAGATGCCTAGAAGCTTAAGAGAAAGGAGGCTATAGAGGTGGCTATAGCTTCTGCCTGATCCCCCAAAATCCATGTGCCTGGGGCTAAATCGACTGCTTGCATGGAACAGAAGCACTACCTGCCCTCTGCCTACCAAACAATATAGCAGGAACGCTCAGCCTGCCCCTGTGGCAGCCGTTCCAGTGATGTCAGTGGGCTTCGAATCAGGCCACTTGCAGAATTTCCAGTTTTTTCTGCAGGGAGAACTCACACAGGGAGCAGTTTCACCCTTTGTTCATTAAACCAAGCGCGGAAGTTCCTATCTCAGCTGACAAGCTGGGCTGAACCTTGTCATTCATATGTTTCAGAAACAATTCATATGCTTCCCATCCACATGCTTCCAATCCCATCCATATGCTTCCCATTCATATGCTTCCCATGGCACAGTGCAAATTATTCTTACTAAGGATCAGTCCTATTCCCATCAGCAATGGCTTGGATCCAGGAAAGCACCTATGTATGTAATTAACCCCAGTGAAATTAAGCATATGTTTAAGTGCTGTGCCTTGGATCCAGTCTTAAAAGCATGCTTTGGAGGGAACCAGCTTTAGGAAAAGAGACACTATTTCATTCTCCATGATCAGTCCTTAGCCTCTGCCTTTATTGAGAACTGCTAGCACAAGTGCCTATAGTGCATGTGATAATGGGTACGCTGATACAGCTACCTGTTCACTGGAAACTGAACTGATATCACCAACGCTGTCACTTCCCATTCACATTCAGTCTCAATGCCTACATTTCATGTCTGCTGGAAGGAAAAGTATCTTTGATTATACATGAGTAGCAAAGTGATTTATTAAAAGAAATCTAGGACAAAGAGTGGGGAAAAAAGAATTGTGTTAATTTCTTGCTAACTTCTGAGATGATAATTGTTTTTTGTTCTGTAAATTCAAAAACATAATTAATATATATGACACTGCTGACAACTAGAACACTGCTTAAACATCTTCCTTTAGGAATTATTACCATTTGCCAAATTCCTCTTATGTTTTGTTTATACATACTTTCCAGTGTGGGTTTCCTTCCCCACAAATTTATATTCCTTGGAGTACTTTTAAAAAGTTTCAGGATGTCAGTTATAAATTATATACCAGCTATAAAAGATGCGTCCTATACTCAACTGAAATCCAAACATTTACAAAACAAATCTTTAACCATTTCATGAATAGAAGAACTGCTGGTACCTTCTTTCTGTGAGATTTTCTGTTGTAATTGATGAGCTGGCCTCCTTTAAAGTATTGATATTAAGGTATTATTGCTTACTGTTCTACGCATTTGAGTTCCTAGCCCCTTGATTCTCAATAAAGCCAAAATCTAAAATAAATAGAAACCTCTCTTAGTTCTGAAAAGCAGAGGAGCAAGGTAGAGAATAACACATTTTTAAAAAAAATTCAGCTTTACCTGCCTTCTGGCTTCTACATTCAGGGAGAAGAAAGTGGTTCATTAGGCAAGCTAAGTACAGTACAAATAACAGACCCTGTGAGAGTGATGTTGATTCCTCCCAACCTTGTGTCAGAAATGAGTCCCACAGCTCCTTGCAAAGTAATTGGTCTAAGTACGTGGTAGGAAGGAGTTTCTTTAAATTCCTCAGAAATTAAGACGTGTCATCCGCTTAACATCTTAACATCTGTTACTGCCTCTCGCACATTTCACCACCCCACAGGTCGGAAGGAGACTTTGCCAGTCCCTTCAGACAAAAAAACAAACAAACCAAAACACCTTTGAAACAGAGAAGAAATTAGCCATTCCTTCAGTGAGATGAAGCATGCAAGACATTTCACCCCATCTTTCTTTCTCAATTTCGTGCATGTCTGTCTGGGTGAGTATGGCTTTCTTTTTGTTAATAAACACATAGGAGGACATGGCATAGCCAGTAGTAATCTTTATTGATGGGATAAAGTGGTCTTGAAATTGTTTCCTGAGAGACTAATCACTCTGCAAATGTTACCTCCTCTCTGTTTGCATATTTGCAGTTTTGTTACAAGTGGACTATTTTGATTCTTTAATTGTGAGTGATTAGAATGACAACTAATTTGCTTTCTTTTTCTTTTTAACTTTGTTGTCTGGCAGCAAGTAAGTAACTATTTAATTATGGCTTATTGCTCATTCCATAGGTGTCATTTAAAATATGTTTAGAATATTGAATAGTCATTGGCCAGGTGACAAACATACACACAGAGTGTATGGGAGCTGTATTCAGAAATCGTGAACGGTTGTGAAGATTACTTTGCAAGGAACAGTGTCTGAATGTTGAAGCTTTTGAGGCATATCCTATTTAGTTCTTTTTTTATTCTAGACTCATATTCTTTAAATGCTGATTTGAAGTATTGGTACAAGACCATAGAGGAACAATTTAACATATATATTTAAAAGGTAAAAAGTTCATTAGTGTAATTGGACATGTTACAAACGTGTATTATTCCCCAAAGGGCTGATCATTCTTTTGTTCAGAGAGGGAGAGGTAGGATAGGAAATTCAAGGTACGGCAGTTTATGAAATGCTTTTCTGTGGGTTCTGCTTTGTTTTAATTGCAGTCCAGGCCAATTATGCCCCGTACTTCTTTGATAATGGAGCCAGCAGTACAAATGGGAACATGGCACTTCTCAGCCTTTCAGAAGATACACCTGTTGGTCAGTATCACAGTTCTCATGTTTAAATTAATTCTAAAATTACTGTCATTTGTGCCTGGATCACTAAGAAGGTCTGGGAAGGCATGCAGTTTATTTTGTTGTGCTGTCTATTAACACATGCCCCAAATGTTCTAGTGGCTTTGCCTTTCATACGTTGAAATGTAATTCTTTCTCTCTTGATAGACCTTGTTACGTTTAAAATGGTCTGTATTTTGAAATCATTATTTTTCTCTCCCGCGCTATTGGTCACCTAATTCACCCAGGGCATGCAAGAAACTCACATGGTTAAAAATTTTGCCAATGACCCCAAGCTGGGAAGGGTTACAAGTACTTTGGAGGACAGGATTTGAAGACAGATAACCTTGCCAATTTGGAGAATTGGTCTGCATTCAGTAAGATGAAATTCAGTAAAGACAAGGTCAAAGTACTTCACTTGGGACAGTGGTCACCAACCAGTAGATCAGGATCTACTGGTAGATGTTGGGACCTTTGACAGGTGATCATGTCAGGTTTGTCCAGGGGGCTATTCAGTGCCAGCACTTCATCTGCCCCTCTAAGCACTGCTGTGTTGCTCCTGCCCTCTACTTTGGAGGTGCTCTCAACTCCTGGGAGCCTCCTGCTTGCTGTGCAGGGCACAAGAAGATAACGAGGGGGCAGTGATGTCAGGGTGCCCTTTCCCCTTCCTGTACTCCATCTCCACAGAGCAGAGGAGAGCAGGGATGGAGAGAGTTTGCTGGCTGCTTTTGGGAGTAGTGCAGGGCCAGGGTAAGGGTGAGCCTGTCTTAGCCCCCTGCACCACCACCCAGAAGTCACCTGTGGACTCTGCATTCTGAACCCTGGCCCCAGTCCTGAACCCCTCCTACACCCCAAACTCCCTCCAGAGCCAGCACCCTGAGTCCCCTCCTGCACCTCAACTCTCTGCCCCTGCCTCAGCTTAGAACCCCTCCCACACTCCAAATCCTTTAGCTCAAGATCAGTGTCTGTATCCCCTTCCCATCCCTCTGCCCCCAGTCTGATAAAAGTGAGTGAAGATGGGGAATGGGAGAGAGGATGGAGTGAGCAGGGATGGGGCCTTGGAGAAGGGGAGGGAAGGAGGCAGGGCAAGGGTGTTTGGGTTTGAAGTAGATCCTGCATTGCACTTAAATTCAAAACGTGATCTCATGCTTAAAAAGGTTGGAGACCACTGACTTAGGGTATGTCTAAACTGTACTCTTATTTCAAAATAAGCCAGTCTGGAATAGTTATTCCAAAATAGCGAATACGGTAGCCCCTGCAGGGAAACCTCAAAATTAGTTTGAGGCAGGCATCCCTAAAGTAGACATGCTATCTCAGTTTAGAGCTCCAGGAGGCACTGGGGAGGAATAACTTAGAATGGCCTGGTGAGGGGCTATTTCAAGACAGCAACAGTAGAGCATCTACACATGCCTTATTTCAAAATGCCTATGTCAGTATAGGCATTATTCCTCGTAGAATGAGTTTTACAGATTTCGGAATAAACTGTCCGTTATTTCATAATTATTTTCAAATAACAGAATGGCTGTGTAGACGTTCACATTGCTATTTTGAAATAATGCTAGTTATCTCAGTATAGACACACCCTTAGAAAGGAAACATCAACTGTGCAACTACAAAATGGGGAATAACTGACAAGGCAGTAGTACTGCAGAAAAGCATTTAGGGGGGAGTTTGGATCTCAGATTGAAGGAGTCAACAGTGGGATGCAGCTGTGAAAAACACAAACATTATTCTTGGATGTTTTATTGCTGTCATATATAAGACATAGGAGATATTTGCTCCCCTCTTTTGGCATTGGTAACACTTCAGTTGAGTGCTGTGTCCAGTTCGGGCACCACACATTAAGAAAGATGTGACCAAATTAGAAACACCAGAGGAGAGTTACAAAGAAGGTAAAACATTTAGAAAACCTGATCCGAGAGGAAAGGTTTAAAAAACTGGGCATGTGTAATTTACAGAAGAGAAGTCTGAGGGGAGACCTGATAACAATCTTCAAATATGTAAGGTTGTTATAAAGAGGACAATGATCAATTGTTTTCCATGCCCACCAAAGACAGAATAAGGAGTAGTTGGCTTAGTTTTCAGTAAGGGAGACTTAGGTTGGATATTAACAAAAACATTTGACTATACTGATACTATAAGCACCTGAACAGGTTACCTAGGGAGGTGTGGATTCTCATCACTAGAGGTTGGACGGACACCTATTGGGGATGTTCTGTGTATACTTGGTCCTGATTCTGCACAGAGGGATGGACTACAAGAACTTTTGACTTCCCTTCCAGCCCTACATTTCAATGATTTTATTATTCTAAGGCTCCTTCCCCTTCTTACCTCCCCACCCCCCAGGCGAAGGATCCATGTAGAGCAGCTGCCTCCGTAGTATTGTGCTGTTTATTGAGCACTGCTTGTGTGCTGAGTTTTGAACTAAGCAGGGAGGATACACGTTTCCTCTCCTCATGCAGATTGCAATTTACGGAACAGATTGTGACTTTACCAGTTACTCTTATGTTTTACCCTGTCCCTACATGAATGATACTCTGTTTACTTCTGTTTATGACAGGAGGGGGCTGTTTGCTTGTACCCTCACATAGGATTTTGGTTGGATTTTTAATTTACTTCTTTTGCAGCAAGTGGAGTCAGCATGCCAAGGATAGATTTTTAATTAGCATTAACACTGTGCTGGAAAGTGTTCCTAGGGTGTTAATGATATGGAGAGCTTGTGCTTTCAGATATAACTCATCCTAGGCTGAACTGGGATAGAAATTGCAATCAAACCATTAAATTTCTATGACATATTAACTACCGTGTAGTCACATAACCAAGTGTATCCGTTCTACCGGGGAAAAAAAACCTGCTCAGGAAATAGTAGGGCATAAAGATCAACAAACCCCATTGTTTCCTATTTGAAGACCTCAGCAATATCCAACATGAATTTCAGTGTTTCATATTATCTTCAGCAGTAGAAATTTCCTGCTGCCTTTATAAGATAGTATCAGAGGGATAGCCATGTTAGTCTGAATCTGCAAAAATGGCGAGGAGTCCTGTGGCACCTTATAGACTAACCGAAGTGTTGGAGCATAAGCTTTTGTGGGCAAAGACCCACTTTGAAGTGGATCTTTGCCCACGAAAGCTTTTATGCTCCAACACTTCAGTTAGTCTATAAGGTGACACAGGACTCCTCACCGCTTTTATAAGAAAGTCCCTAAAAACTGCAGCAGGTAAAAGGCTTTGATTACCGAAAGAGATTTTGTCTAGTGCTCAGGCTTACAAAGAAGATGCCAGATCGTATGGCTACTATTTGACTTATAGTGGTGTTCCTACTATGCAGATCCTTCTTTTTTCCCTCATAAAGGATGAAAACTGTGCAAAGGGACCCTTACTGGGTTTTTGGTCACTCAGGGCATGTCTACACTAGAGAGAAGATTGACCCTCCAGAGGTCAATCTTCTCGCATTTGATTTAGCACAGGGGTTCCCAAACTTTTTGACATGGGGACCAGTAAATCCATTCATGAACTTTTGGAGGACCGGTAACATTCATTTGCATATTCATTAATCAAATGATGACTATTCAAATAAGTTATTTCTGGTCCTCCCAAAGCCCCCAGTGCCAGCTTTAGCAAAGCTTTTGATATGGTCACCCACAATATTCTTGCCAGGAAGTTAAGGAATATGGATTGGATAAATGGACTGTAAGACATACAGAAAGCTGGGTAGACCAGGGTTTCCCAAACGTTTTACTTTAGTTGGAACCCTTTTTTTTCAGTACTGTTTTTTGCAGCCCAAAAATATAAACACATAAAATACAAACTGAGAAAATACCAGACATATAAATGTCTGGTATTTTCTAATTAGGTACGTTTTATTATTACTAGATGTATCAGTTTGTAGTTTCAAACTGCCTGGCTGCTGGGTAGACCAGGGTTTCCCAAACGTTTTACTTTAGTTGGAACCCTTTTTTTTCAGTACTGTTTTTTGCAGCCCAAAAATATAAACACATAAAATACAAACTGAGAAAATACCAGACATATAAATGTCTGGTATTTTCTAATTAGGTACGTTTTATTATTACTAGATGTATCAGTTTGTAGTTTCAAACTGCCTGGCTGGTA